ACTCAACACAAGTCAAACTTGTGCTTTGACTGTCAGATTCCCATGAGAATTCCTGTGAGTCATAATCAGAGGAAGGACCTAATCTGTGTTCCTATTAATGCAAATGTGAGGAAGAGGCTTTCTGCTTAGGTTTTCAGGCAGCAAAGGCATCTAATTTAAACACTCTGGTACTTACATTCTCTACTAAACTGCATAAAACAAAGCATATATTTATATTTTTTGCAGGACTTAGTATGATTTTATTGAAAGTTCACTGTGTCCTCAGGTTGGCAAAGTGTTTAAGAATAAAACCAGTGTGACTTCTAAAATGCTTGAAATCAAGCATCTGCTTACTTAGATGAAGAACTCTGTGTAATAATTGATGAAGGTTAAACATTAAATCTTCCAAGCCTATCTAATCATTCTAAGAATATGCAATGTCATGACATGCTTCAAATTTAAATACAGTCTGGAAGAGTGCTTCTGAGGAGTAAAAAGTATAACTGAAATGTGCTAAAAATACGGTGAAGACCTTTCAAATCCTTTTTTAGCCTTTAATCCATTATTTAGCACTTCATTCTTTAAAAGAAACCTGCAGAGCTATATCCTCTGAAGCACAACCTTGAAACAAAGTGTTTTTAGACATGCACAGAAAGCATTAGCAGCTTTCATTGCAAAATGACACCTGTGTGCCCATATGTCCTGATCCCTGAAGTCATACTTCAGAGTATAGACTTATTCATTCAAAAACACTTCATCTGATTTATATCAAAGTACCTGCTCCTGTCTACACAGACTAAGTAAATGTCCAGCTCAGACAGCAAACACTGTTGTCTTGAAATCTTTCATTCTGGTGAATTATCATACATTTATCATTATGGTGTTTCATACCCACATACCCATAAATATTTGGTTTTGGTTGTAGGCAGACCTGAGTGTCATGGAAAGCTGACCTGCAAGTAAGTAAGAGGAAAATCTTATCTGTGGCCTTGGAGAAAAAGAGATAAAAATGAAGGGAAAGTTTGAGTAGTGTGAGCAAAACTTTTTTTAAAGCTAAATTAAGTAAATGTCCTGTAGTCAGTTATTAACTTCACATGGTTAATGTGGCTGTTTGGTCTAGAAAGGTTATCTGCTGTAACATTTCTTAACATTTTCATAATGTTATCAAGAATTAAAAAGGCAACATTTATCAAACATTCACAGTGTCTGTGAGTCAGAACAAAGAGCAGCCACACAGTTGTGATAACATCCAGGCTGTCAATTAGAAGCAAGTCCAAATACCTTGGAGATATTTGCTTTTGGATGATGCATTCTTTGTCATGTAAAAATGTAACTTTTCAAAGTACACATGTTACTGATTAAGTTAAAGTCAGAAAATCTTATTTCCTTCTAATTATTGCTAAAGCCATATGCAAAAGATGGAGAAGGATAATCAACGGGATGATCCAGATAAAGAAGAGCCTTAACGTGAAGAGAAATCAAAGGGCCCAATCCTGCAAATCCTTCTATGATTAGTCCTTAATCTGCAGTGAGATTGCTCATGAGAAACAGAATTTACAGGACCAGACCTTAAATCTCCCAACTGCATTTTCCTAAGAAAAGAGGCGGATTAAAATCCAGACCTAATGTCTCATTGTGTCTGGCGATGTCAGAGAAACAATGGCAGCAGCCATGGAGTCTAAAAGACTTGTCCCATTCCAGGAGGCTCTAATTTGGGCAGAGGGGACTAATCCCCAATGCAGAGAGGGGGAAATTTTGATTATAGCACTTTGTGTTAAAACCCTTACCCACAAAGCAAGAGAACCCATGCAAGTGGTCATGCTAAAGGCAGCCAAAAAGCATGGATTCCAAAACCTTTCCTTTTGCAGCAAATAGCATGATCTCTGATTGAAAAGCTTACTATCATTTCAAAATAAGAGGTGGAATTAAAAATGTTGGTTGCTCTGCCTTTTCTTTCCAACATTTCCATCAATGGCTATCAATACTGCCAGAGTGGCTTGGGGCTAAGGCTAAGACATTGTGTTCTGATTTACATTTCACATTACATTACATTTTACATTTAAATTAACAATTATCCTTATGTGGAGGCTATTCCAAGAAACTGTAATGTGCAAGTTAGGAAATGGAGAGGCTTGGAAAATATGGAACTAAAAGAGCCTTGACCTGATCTGCCTTAGGTTTACCTCCAACCACTCATTCCCCCATTCAGGTCTGGGCAGTACCTGGCATGTCTGTATTAACAGCTCTCATCCAGACCTATTTCTGGTCAAAAATAAATAACTTGGGAAGAGTAAATAGGTGAACAGAATAGCTAGTTACAGTCTCTAACAAATTAAAAGGCATCAAATCAATATTATGTTTCAATGGGACTCCACTCTTTCCAATTCACTCAATACTTCCTAAAATTATAATTTCACCAGTTAATCAGGGATTATTTAAACTATGTGTTAACGGTGGCTTTACTGTCAGTGTGTCTTCCAATAAGTCCAGTAAATCCTGCATCAGGAAGAGGGACTAGAGGATGAGAAGCACCTCTTCACATTCCTTGGTGGATAGGTACAAGCAAGCAGTGGATTCTGCACATCTGTCCTTGGCTTGCAGCCCCTCTCATAGGAGGTTGAGCAAACAGCTTGGCTTTGCTTCTGCATCACTAGGACAGGAGGTTTGGACAAAGGGAGCAGGGTATGAGAGCTGCTCTGACTTCTGCCTGTAGAGCTCCCTAGGACTCACAAAAGCCCCCATTTCTCAGGAAGGAGTAAAAACTTCTGCTCTGCATTTTTCTTCTTTCCCAGACTTGTTGATATTTTAATGTAAAATACATCAGAACTAGAGATGGCTCATAGTTTTCTTTCTGCTTTGGAGATCCTATTACTTTGCTTTCTGATGTCCTGACTCCTCTGCAGACTACAGCAGGTCTTGGAATAAACCTGTTAATCAGACCTGTACACATTATCAGTTCTGGTTCCCCTCCTGACAGGTGCAACACAAAATCCTTTCTCAAAATACATTGTGGGTTTTGTAGAAAAATGCAAAAGTAGTGAAACAACACTGTAAGTTCACTGGCTTCTCTAATTATGCAATAGAAATTATTTGCTATTTTATGTAATAATTGATACTAATTACACCATTGTTATTCTCCTTTGAGAGGGGTTAGTCCAGGATGAGTAACCAGTTCCATGCCAAATTCTGATCCAGGTTATAACCAGCAAGTTCATGATGATATTTTGATTTCAGTGACATTGCTCTAGATTTACTCTAGTCTAGTCCAGATCATTATCAGGCTTTCTTTAAAGACATTGTTCTCTCAGATGCCTTTCCAGATTAATTGGCACAATTATATCCTTCTTTCTTTCTTCCCCCTCAGGTCGATCTGTGTGTCAGAGGGTTACAAGCTCTGTTGATTCAAAGGTGAGTGTTGTAGGGAAATGAGTTACAGTGGGGATATCCCCCTCGTCTCTAAAGGGCCAAACTCCTTCTGTTTTGATGTAGCACTCACAAAAATACTCTAATCTTTCATTCCCTCAGACTTCCTTTCTTCATTTGAGAGGTGAAAGACACTTCCAGAATGCAGTAGGCTGTCCCTCTTCACCTGGGAAGCACTTCATGAAGCCCTTGCATGCACTGACTGCTTGTTCAGCTTCCAAAGACTATTGGCATTCACAATGAGAAAGTAATCTTTCATCTGGAGAGTTTCCAGGCCACAAGGGATGGTTTAGTGATCTGAACATCTCGGATCAAATGAAGCCTTGGTGCAAGAGGAAGCAACTCGTCTGACTTCACTGGAACTGAGCATGTTTACATCAGAGGTGAATCTGTCCTGTAAATCTGTGTGGAAGCACAGATTGAAATCCCAGCAGCCAGGGACAAGGGAAGAGTGGATTGTCAATTCAGGAATATCAGAGAAGATTTCTTATGAATGCCAGCTTAGGAAGGGCTATCGTGGATAAAAGTGGAATTCTTATTTTTGTGAAAGATATTGCACACCCAAAGATGAAGAAAGCTTGGCTTGAAAATGTTTACAAATATGTGACATATCATACAGAAAAAATATATCCCTCCCCCTTTCCTTGCTTATTTTCTCCAAGTATTACATGAAGACATTGGTTTTCAGAAATGCTTATCAAGACATCTCATCAAAGTATGTACAAACAAGATTTTCCTTAAATAAAAAGTTATTTTATCTAGTAAAAAATCCTCAACAACTAAACAGCATATGCTAGACATATTTCAGCTGGCCATCCCCGATGGACACTTAAAAATCCATTAAATAAAAATTTCTGAATTTTCCCTGCTTTTCTGCAGTATTTCTCTGGTTTTGTTTCCATTATGATAAAAAGTTTAATCTTTCTTCTTTTAGACCACGAGGGAGTGATTAATACAACCTTTTTTTTTTTTTTTCCACAGTACTTTGTCTTTTCATTATTTCTTCAAGGCTAAGTCAACGATATTTTAATTTAAAAATAAAGATAAAAATATTAGTATTAACACCATAAATGTCATTTTCAGACCTGCTGTATCACACTTTCTCAGGCAAAGTGGAAGGAGAAACCAACAGCAGCTCCTATTCTCTCCTCTGCTGTTTAAACTTCCAGGGGAAAAGGCACACCGGGTTAGTAGCATGCAAAGACAATGTTCCAAGATTAGAAATCTCCCAACCAGAAAGTTGTATTTTGGGTTTGTGTTTCCCAGACCTGAGCAGCAGCAAAGTCCCTCAGTGCTGTTAGATGGCAATTACACCTTAAGCAAAAAGATATTGCAGATCATTGATTCCTGCAAATCTCCTCTCCCTTGAAGTAGCAGCACTTGCTTATGAATGAAGACACACACACTTTCACCTTGAAATCACATCAACCTATTTTCTCTGTTTAGTCCTGGAAGCACAGGAATTAGAGGTTCCAAATTGGATGCATCTCATCTGAAGGAAAGTGGTTTGGTCCTGAGAGCCTCCCTTTAAACAGGGAAGATACTTGTGTGAGGAGTCTTGGCAATATGAGCAGGACTATTTGTGGGGGTGAGAAGGAAGGATGTGAAGTTTGCAGAATGCAGTTCCTGATTGTCTGGGGTGTGAACACTCCCAGCTCCACTCAGGTGAGTAAGACCCAAGCCATGCCGATGCTTCCTGTCTGAATGTTGGTGTGTGCAAGGATTCCTTGAGGGAGGAAGGCTCCAGAACTCCACGGTGTGAAACTACACTGTTGACTGACAGAGAAAGAATAGTTGAATTAAGCTCTTCTTTGATTTTACGGAACATTGGCTTCTGCAAATGTGACCTTAAATTCAAATTGATTTGATCTTAAATGCAGGAGATTTCATCTACCTTCCAGGCAAATATGCTCCATATGTTAAATACCAGTAAATATAGTTAAGTTCTCCATTGTCTATGAATGGAATACAGAACAGCTTTTCTGTAAAGACCAGATTCTCCCTTAGCAGCAGCAGATTTAAAAGGTCAGAACTGGTAATGATCAGCTGAAAACAAGGGCTTGGCTGAAAGCTGTTGAAGTTTGCATTTTCAGTAGGTCCTAAAGCCCAGCTCTTAAAAAAAAAAAAGTCACATGATGCAGCACCTTGTGGATATTTTTGTGCTGTTGATGCTTCTTTCTTTACATTCTGATGATGAACAAGAAAGCTCAAGTTATTTTTAGGAAATATAATCAAAATTCAGGTATTTCCTCAGTTATCCCCTGGAAACTGCTACAGGTTCAGTATTTAAACTGATCACTACTGCAAGGGGTAAGGAAATACCTTTTTATTAATGATCTCATAACTGCTCACTGTAAGGTTTTGTGTTTTTTCACTGTAAGGGTACTGTACTGCTTGCCACCTGATGAAGATTTCTTCAACAACTTTGGCTACTAATTTGTTATGCAGCCCTCTGATAGAGTTCTGGATAGCCTCTATTTTCAGTTCCTGGATCATACATCCTGGGGAAGGAAAGTGATTCCCTCCCAAAGATAGATTGCCCCTGAATGCCAAGAGCTGGCAGTGGAAAAATAAAAAAACAAAAACCAAAAACAGCAGCAAAGCGCTCATGGCAGAAGGCTTGATGGAAGCTTTAGGGGACTAATTCTGATATGTTTACTTTATTTTCTTTTTAATAGGTTGTCAGCTGAGGAGAACAAACAGCTCTTCCTGCATCCAAAAGCATAAGCATTTATTGGTCCAGATAAAGCACAGAGAAGAAATATTGTTCAGGGTGTACTATAAGTCATCACCATGTCTCTGCAGGTAAAATGCCAAAGAATTTCTGTTGTACAGTTTTCACTGTGCTGCTCTGTGCAACACAGTTTGGTAGCATTGGAACAATTCAGAGTTTAATACTGAACATATCCTCTGAATCTCACCCTGTAACAACCTTTCACAGAAAAAGCACTGCTGCTGTCATCAACAGAAAAAGCAGTTCCCTTGGGAATGAGATGTGTGTACTTTCAGCAGAAGGGGACACACTCATATGCATGTTCTGAGCCCTCCAGAATCTGGGAGGGGTTTGGGAATGTCTGAAGAGCCAAGGATTGCAGTGCCCCTCTGATAACCACACCCTGGGAAGATCTACTGTCTCTGTGCTGCTTAAGCAGTCCTTCTTCCAGCACAAAAGGAACTTGCTCTATTTTTCTCTTTGCAGTCCATATCACAAGTAAAGCCTTGATTTTACACTGGCATTGGATTAAGCAAACAGTACATGTGGAAGTTACTTTCCCAACTTTTCAGGACACAAACCTTAGAATAAACATAGGGGATTATTTTCAAAATGTCTGGGAAAGGAAAACACATAGATACTGTTCAGCTGTGCTTCATATGTTGTCAGTAAAAGTGCAAAATTACATTTCCCATGCCCACACTGAAGTTGTCTGGTAAATGTACTGCTGAGCTGACATTCAGTGTCCTTGTAATGAATCAAGTCTATGTCTTTACAGAACCTGGGGTTTACAGCAGTGCTCTGAGTTTATAGCTGAAAGTAGTCTTACAGATCCATATTTCCTTTATGTATTTCAAATTGATTTAAACCATAAGCCTTTCTTTGCAAAGAATTCTCTAGAAAATAAACCTCGAAATCACCTTGTAAGTTCTGGACTAGCTCCTCAGCTCCTGCAGCAGGTGTAATTACAACTGCATCTGCGTCACTGCGTGAAACTGCCCAGAGAGAAACCAGAATGGCAAATAAATCTCATTTCCCAAAATGACCATTCTTCTGGTCAGCTTTTGTGGGGCTCTGTTGAACTGGGCAGGGAGGAAACTTGTGGGCACCGCTTCTTTTCATGACATTTATTCAGCACATCAGTGGGTCAAACACTGTGAGCAGCCCCTGGCTAAGGGATGTGCCTTTGTGGTGACAATGACATTGCCCTCAACGGCAACCCAAGGACATTCTTAGATTGTCACTAGTGGAGCAAATAGGTTTTGATGGCAGCCTAAACACGTGCTAGTGGCAGGCTCTCACGAGGAACAATAGAGATGCCAGGTGTCAGCATGCAGGGAACACAGGGAATTGTTGGAACTCTGTCAGACACAGTGAGAATAGAGCCAAGAGGGATCAGTGAAACCAAAAACCAGCTGGGTAACTCCTGCATTCCACTGTTTCATGGATGTGAGGAGGATAAGGTTGCAATTTTATCAACAGCATGTCCAATAACTCCAATCCAAGATTCTGCTCAGGCATAATCATTCATCTATATCTGTTAATGACAATTTAATTGCATATCCTTATCTCATAAATACTGAAATATTTGTATATAGTAATATGTGCTAAAGAACACATTGAATTTCAGTTTGCCATCAATTTCAGTTTGCTATTTATATACAGCATATGGATTTCAAATTTTCCCTTGACACTGGCATTGTTGAAACAACCACTTGATCTATTAAATTTTTTGAGTAGCTCTTTAAATTATAAATAGTGCCTAGTTGTTTATTTCAAGTGCTTTCAGTACTCCAAATGTGGTTTAATTGTATTTGAAAACTGCCAAATATCAATGGAGATCAATCCCATCCCATTGATCTGTTTATGCAGTTAAACATGTAGAATATCAGATTCAGGCTCTAACATATTTAAATACTCCTCTATTGATCAGCTGCTGCCATGATCCAGCACAGATGATGGCATAGATGATTACAGGAAACTGCCTGCTCTGGTTTGCTCAACTGATACCTCCGTCTTTCTAGAGGCATCATGGAAAAACTGATCCACAGCTCAAAAACAGAGAGTGAGCCAGATGGACAAACAAGCTTCCCAAACAAAAAGGTTCAATCCATGATTTTAGAATGTGATGTGGGAAACCACAAAAACACATTCTGAAAAGCATGGGGAAGCATATTAAAATCCTGCACCTTACTGCTTGAATGGGACAAGAGATGAGTAGGGAGCTCAGACAATCTTTGTTCCTTCACAAAAGCAGACAACTGTCCTCCAGGGCTGTTTGTTCAACTAAGGGATAAAGGTCTAAACTTATGATACAGAACTGTTTCCTGTAGAAGATATGGGAGCAAAATGCAGTAATGCCAGATCTTGCAATGATGTTACTTCAGTGTTTGGGATTAGTGCGTGGTCCTGATTAGAGAGCTCTACAAGTAAGTACAAAATACTTTATTTCAACCCAAAACACTTATGAATAGATTTTGTAGAGCTAAATAAATGTCTCTTTTATTTGTTAGATATTTTGAATACCCACAAAAAAGCTGACCAGGAAACACAAACCTCTTGTATTTGTAGCTCATAACTAAAAGAAAGAGTGAATGGGGAAGGATGAAGTGTTTGTTCCCAATACCATGTGCAGATCAGGGCTAGATATCAGAGGAAAATCACGTTCTGGCTAGAGATGAGGTTTCAAGGGAGCAGTTACTTCTGTGTTGGCACCTCACCGAGCAGAGGGGAAAGAACCTTGCATATCTCTCAGACATGCACAGCTGCATGAATGCAACAAATGGCAGAGGGAGATGAGGGTTTAGATCTCGGGAAAAGAGGAGGAGTGGGATGAATTAAAGAGCAAGATTAATCTAGAGGATTGGCAGAGCTGTTTAGGTAAGAAGAAAAAAGGCATCCGTGTATAGTTCCATAAAGTGCCCCACACATGTGACAAGATTGCACAGAGAGGAGTGACCAAGAATAGTCAGGAGTGTGGTGCTACCACCCCTAAGGACAGGGCCTCAAAAAAACCCAACACTGCTGGGGATGAATGAACATAATTCAGGCAGCTCCATAACTCTTTCTGAGAGCTGAATGCTTTGTTTCTTGGGCTTTTTTGGAAATCCCAGCTAGCTGTTGTAATACTATGGAGAAAGCGAAAAACAAACACACATAAATTACTCTGTGGTGTTTCAGGTGAGTGAAATGCTTGGAATGCAACCACCCATCATTATTATTATTGTTCTTTGTCAGCTACTAAAGGTGAGTAAGAAATTGTCCTTGTCAAGTTTTCTTCAAAACTGACCCTTGCTTCAGGCCCTAAGTAAACAGCCTTCTCTGGGAACAGGTGCACGTGGTACTGTCCTTATCAGATATGTGCATTTTCCTGAACTATACACAAGACAGTGTTTGAGCAAAATCTAAATGTTTTTCAATCTTCCTTCATATGCCAAAATAAGACTTAAACGACAGTTTAAGGTAACCTACATACACGTTCTGAGGTCATATTAACTGCTTCTGAAATTAGTTCATACGGTCCCAGACATGAAGTAAAATACTTTTTCATTACTAGTGATAATTATGGTATTTTTTTACAATAATTTTTAAGAGAATACTGCATCTGCTTTAGATTCAGGACTATAGAGTTGATGACAGTCTTTGGCAGGATTTAAATATTTCAGAAGCTGCTGAAAATTAATTTTGACAGGGGTATAACAACAACAGTATTTTGCACACTGAGAAGTATGAAATAAGGAAAAGTAAAATTCTGTTGAGAGTAGAAGACTTCCTTCTTATCAGTAGTCAAGCACTGCAAGTAATACACTGCTGGTAGCAGCAACTTGAACTAGCAATCATCAATATTTCTAAATTACTTAAAAGAATCTAGTTAATCATTAGTTTCTTTACGCCTTCTGGCAACCTTGCAAAGATTGCTATGAGTTAATATAAATCCCGTAAAGTTCACAAAATGTCCTATGACTACTGGAACTTTGTGGGAACCACTAATAACCAACCTAGAGGTTATGATACAAAAGGTTTGTTGAGGGTACCTTGGTATCTGAGTGTGACTGACAGCGTGATGGATGATGATTGCTGGGCCAGCTTTGAACACGCGTTCTTCCTCCAGCAAAGTCAAACAGACCTTGCAGAGGAAGTCATGGAATTTGCTTTCTGCTAAGGCAACTCAGAGATTACAACCCGTATGCCAAAGCTTTAAAATTCAGAATCCAGCCCCAGGAGGGCATGATTCTTCTCAAAACAACCTCCCTGGAGCCCTCATGACATGACATTATTTCATACTGTCTAAAGACTCTGACACCCCTGTGCTCACAAGCAGAGATGTTGCCAGCACAGCCCAGCCCAGCCCAGCATTCAGGGGACAACCTGCCCTAACCTGTCTGCCAGGCAAATGCAAAAGGATTGGTATAAAGAATATTTTACTGTGTGTGCTCAGCAGATTCTTTGCAAAGAACTTCAAAGCAAGCAGAGAGAACAGTAAATGTTGTCTTTGTATGTGTGAATTTGAAAGCCTCAGTTAAACTTCACCATCTACGTTTAAAGGCTTAACATTCACATGATCTCTCTTTTTATCCCAGACAATACACATCACAGCATTCATCCACAAACACAAGCAATGTCTCATATAAACTGGAAAAAATAAGGGTGGAAGGGGGTAAAATATGCAGGAAGCCATCCTATCCCCATATGGCCTGAAATTTGCTCAGGGTATTATACATGTGATTAGCAACTGTCTGTCAACTAAAAGAAAAAAACCTCAGAAAATTTAAGGAGGATACGGCTTTTACTGTAGTTGTCAAATAATAATTAAATATAAAAAAGCATCAATATAAATTTTAGCCTAAAAGATCAAGCCTTTGAAGACAGGGAAAATAAGGGGTAAGATCCTCCTATTTTTCTATGTTGGCTTGTTTGCTAAGACCTGCCTCGGAATGGGTTAACATTACAAATGTGAAGCCAAATCTATCAATTGTGTTGCTGTGGTCTGATTGTCAGGACCAAAATTAGACACATTTATCTTTAAAATACCTCTAAGAGGGGCTAAACATTTGTGTATATAAAAGTATAGAAGAGTTTGATGAGGCAGTAT